GCCAGGTGAGGTTAGCTGTGGCTTGTTCTGGTTCTCTGATCTTCCAGTGTTCACCCCAATACCTGGCTCATGTTTGATTTTATTAATAAGACCTTCTAAGATTCATGCTACAGTTCTCCTCTACCCAGTTATGTCTTCCTTCCAACCACCTCTCTAGCTCCTCCCCCAAACCACGGTTTGAGGGCCCGGAGCTGGAACTCACGAGGTCCACCCTCTAAGATGCTCTTGTAAAGGACTAAGTGGGTACTCAACCAGACCTGGAAGCCGGACACACCCAGTGCCATGCCACGTGCCCCAGAATCAGGGACTGAGCCAGGGCACCCTCTGCAGAGGCCGCAGGACCTGGGGCTGGAGAACTTGCTGAGGGGTATCCGGCCCTGGGCACTATTATCTCAACGTCATTATCTCCTCCTGCAAAGCCCTCTCCACCCATAACCCCCAACCGAGATGACAGGCCAGCAACTGTCTCCAACTGCTCTGATTCAGGATAAGGCTAGACCCTGTTCCCACTGCCACACACTTCATGGCCACCCCTCCCTCGGCCACATGTACTGAGAACAGGCTGACTGTCTCCCTGGGAAAGAAGAAGCTGGGGAGGAAGGGGACACCCCAGTGCCTAGGAGACCAGGGACCAGGATGGCAGGAGCTCCTGACAGGAGATGTCTTCTCTTTCACTCACCCCATCCTCTCTCGTCTCTGCCTCGCTCAGCTGTTGCTGCTTCTGCAGTGTCTCCCGTCTCAGGCTGCTCTTCCCACCCCCACCCCGGAGCCCTGAAGCACCACACCTGGCTCCCACATCAGATAACCCAACCACAGTGGCTCCCCTCACCCGACCCTGCTCCCACCCTCCTCGCCTCCTCACCCCTCACCCTCTTCCTCCCCGGGGCTCTTCTACCTTCTAGCTTCTGGTGCACCGAGAGAGCCCCTAGAGAAGGTCCAGGAGCCCTAAAGCCCTAGTGGGAAAAGATGGTGTGAGAGTCAGCCCTGCTCCGCCTCAGCATGTGCTCATGGTTACAGAGAGGACGGAAATGCACGCTCTAGGCCAGTTGGAAACGATGATAGGGAAGGGACCCCAGCCCAGGCCTTAAGGTATGACGATAAAGTGAGGGGGTGGGGACTCTCAGAAAAGCCTCTGGAACTGGGGGCTGCGGGGCACGGGGCGGGGGGCAGTGTTATGAGATGCCTCTTTCCTTTCCCAGGGCTACGTCTTGTATTCATGAGGTCATCTCAAGCCCAAACTTCCCATCAGAGCTACCTGAGGCCAGGGTTGAGGCCAGAATCTTGGGCAGGGAAGTAGGTGGAGGTAGCCTGGAGTGGACGCAGCCCCCCTCACCCCAACCCCGGGTGGAGGCCATATCTGTAGGAAGAGGGCTTCCATAGGGTGTGTTGGCAGTTGCAAGGAATTATGGGGAGGAGAGCACTGGGACATAGGGAGAGGGGACAGGGACGAGTGGGCGCCTGGGAGCTGGGGGTTGGAGGTTTTAATGCCTCTTGACGACAAATGAATCATAGGCAAATGATGTGGAAATGATGGTGAAAATAAAGATGTGTTATTTCGAGGCCCCAAGCGCGTCTGTCATAAGAAGGCGGGCGAGCAGGGAGGAACCCGAGCTTCTCAGGCCGGATGGTGTCTGTAGGTGGGGGCCCAGGTAGAGTTCCTGTGGGGAACAGTGAGGTGATGGCTCATGCACATCTCTTGTCACCTTCAGGGTGATGTGAAACAGCAGGTGGTCAACCACAACCATGCAGCCCTTCCCCCCCCCAGCACTGCAGCCCTCCCATCCCCTCGGCTCCTTGGTGAATCCCCCCACCCTTCCCTAATCTTGCTGTGGCCACTGCCGCAGACACATGAGATGCCGTTCCTCAGCACCTCTGCCCTGTCTGTCCCTCTAAGCCCAGGCCATGGCCTTGTCCTCAGCAGAAGGGACAATGAAGTTCCATTCCAGCCTGTGGTCAGAGCACCCTAGGACCAGGCAGGGAATCTGGGGGTGTCCTGGGCTATTTCCCTTCGCTGTGGGCTTTCTGCCATCATGAGAGTGAAGTTCAGCGGGCGGGGGGTGGCGCCCGCCTTTAATCTCAGCACTTGGGAGGCAGAGCCAGGCGGATCTCTGTGAGTTTGAGGCCAGCCTGGTCTACAGAATGAGTTCCAGGACAGCCAAGGCTACACACAGAGAAACCCTGTCTTGAAAAACTAACCAAACTAACTAACTAACTAAATAAATAAATAAATAAATAATGAAGCTCATGTCCACGGTGCTAGGACATGAGGACTGGGCTGAAGAAATAGGCTTTCTGCATGGATGAATTCATAACCTCTTCTAGCCAAATCCAGGCTTTGGTGAGCCTTTATCCTGCTTCCGCAGCCTCTCAGTGTCAACAGTTATTAACCGATAGGAGAAACATGCACACTGCCCCCACAGCCCCATTAACTAGTGTGCTTGTTTCCCTTTTCATTGTTTTCTTTTTCTTTTTCAGACAGGGTCTCTCCATGCAGTCAAGGCTGGCCTTGAACTTGTAACTGCTCTGACTCCGCCTCCTGAGTGTGCACCATGTCCCGCTCTGAACGTTTCCTCTCCATGCCTTCCTTCTGCTCCTGTGTTTGTACAGTTCCCATCACAGGGCATGCACGACTCTTGTCTTCTCCCATGATGCTGTAGCACAGTCACAAATACCTTTTTAGCAGCTTTATAACTTTCTACTAAGTGGAAATACCATACTCTCTTTCATCATTTTCCAATTGTAGGTATTCAAATTATTTCTCATTTTCCGTATTACAAGTAGCTTGATGGTGAACGTCACTGTGCACATATTGTGCCTCCGTGCCTAACCTTTGACGGCAGATATTTGGTCTGGAGAACACTGGGTGGGGTAACTCAGCAACGGGTGAAAACATCTCATAGTTCTCACCATACACTGCCAAGCCGACTTCAAAAGAGGTCTGCCACCGCGAACAGCGCGTGCGTTTCACCGTCCTCACTGGTGTTTGAAATGGCACCTGCCTTCTCTTTGTTCGACTGACATTATTTTGAGCACCTTCAGGCTGAGCACCCCCTTAACATCCTGCGTTTCCTCTTTCCCTGGAGAGTCTTCTTCTGTGCTTTGAACGCCGTCGGTCTACTGATGCGTCTACGCGGCTGCCTATCGATCGATTTGTGTGCTCTCTCTCTCTCTCTCTGTGGGAGAGGTTCTAAAGGCTGTCAGTGGAATGACTGCAAATCCCTCCTGTGCGTTCTCTCTGCTCTCCAGATGCTGACCCGGCACTCTTTGCTTTATTTCAGTTTCTGCCCGATCCTCTCAGCCTCCTCACCACCACCACCACCACCGCCACCCCCTTCCATTCTTCGGCCCGCCCGCGCCCCCCACCCCGGGTTTGCAAGCCTCCCCTCCCCTTTTGAGCTCCAGAACAACTGGCCCCTCCATGTCTTCTGGTTGTCTTCCAAGTGCCTCAAACCCGTCCCTAGCTTGAGTCCACTTTTCCCTGCAAATCTTCTTTAAAGATTTATTTTTTTGCCGGGGGGTGGGGGGGGTGGCGCATGCCTTTAATCCCAGCACTCGGGAGGCAGAGGCAGGCGGATCTCTGTGAGTTCGAGGCCAGCCTGGTCTACCGAGTGAGTTCCAGGAAAGGGCGCAAAGCTACACAGAGAAACCCTGTCTCGAAAAACCAAAAAAAAAAAAGATTTATTTTTTTGTATTAGTTTGCCCACATATATGTAAGTGCAACACGTGTGTGCCTGGTGCCTGTGGGGTTATGATGAGGATGTTGGGCCGGGCAGTGGTGGCACACGCCTTTGATCCCAACGACAGAGGCAGGGGGATCTCTGTGAGTTCAAAGCCAGCCTCCTCTACAGAATGAGATTCAGGACAGCCAAGGCTACATAGAGAAACCCTGTCTTGAGGGGGGAAAAAGGAAGAAGATAATGTTGGATTCCCTGGAACTGGAGTTACAGGTGTTTGTTAGCTGTCGTGTGGGTGCTGGGAACCGAACCAGGGTCCTCAGGAAGAGCAAGTGCAACAAGAACTCTTAACCAATGACCCTCTCTCCAGCCCCAGGCTAGTGTTCTTAAAGAGGAAGTAAGATCCTGCCAACCTTCAGACCAGAGGAAGAGGATGAGAATGCCAGCCGCCATGTGACTCAGTTTCCCGGCTTACATATGTATTAGGACTGATTTCAGGTCTAGAGAGACATGCTTGAAAGCTAGATGAGCAGCCATTCTCCTAAAGTAAATCCACCCATGACACTGACCTTGCTGGCTTCCTTCTGGGTTCTTATTAAGAAGGGCCTTACAAAGGGCTTAAGCTCAAAATCATAAACCTGTGCCGTTCCTACAGTAGCCACAGCCATAGTGGCCAGTCAGAAATGAGATATGCTGTAAGTGTAACACACACCTTGGATTTCAAAGACTTGGTATGAAAAAAGAAGACAATACTTTTCATTTTGATTATATATGAAATGATGTTTTCAATACAATTGGGTAAATATACTATTTAATCATCTATTCCTGACTTTGGTGGTATGGCAACTAGAGTATGTGGAGCTACACATGCTGCCCTTACCCTGTTTCTACTGGATGGTTCTGGTCTAGACTTGTCCAAGCAGGGGAAACACAGGTGTACCAGGCTTTTTCTTTTGGGCCACCAAACAGCACCCAAATCATGACCCGGAGACTTCTTATTAGTTATGAATGCTTGGCCTAGCTTAGGCTCATAGTTCTGGCTAGCTCTTTTAACTTAAATTAAGTTTATCTACCTTTTCTTTCTGTATGCCCTACTTTTCCTGCTTCGTCCACGTCTGTCTGGTTTGCTGGTCCTGGTGTCTTGTCTCCCTCTCTGTCTCTCTTCTTCTTCTTCTTCTTCTCCTTCTCCTTCTCCTTCTCCTTCTCCTTCTCCTTCTCCTCCTCCTCCTCCTCCTCCTTCTCCTCCTTCTCCTCCTCCTCCTCCTTCATCTTCATCTTCATCTCCTCCTCCTCCTCCTCCTCCTCCTCCTCCTCCTTCATCTTCTTCTCTCCTATTTATTCTTTCTGCCTGGTAGCCCCACCTATCCCTCTCCTACCTAGCTATTGGCCATTCAGCTTTTTATTAGACCAATCAGGTGCCTTAGGCAGGCAAGGTGGAACAGCAACACGTTGTTTCATAATTCAATAAACGCACCATAAACAAATGTAACACATCTCTATGTAGTTAAATATTCCACAACACTCAGGCTATAGGCTGAGGAGTCAGTGATGACCCAGCGGATGTGAGTGTCAAGCTCCCTGGAGATGGGAGCCAGGCAAAGCACCTACTAGATGTCTGTAGCTTCTCAGTGGCCAGCCTCCCCAAGGCAAAACGGAGCAACACATTTGCTGGAAACTTCCTTCAAGTCTGGCTTGCTTCTGAGTTGGAGTTTAGCTTCCAGGAGTCCGTCCTGTGTACAGGTCACAGGACCAGCCCAGCTTTCGATCTCCTCACAGCTCACAGGTAAGTTCTCCACCATTCATCTTGAACCAGGTCCCGGCCCCCTTCAGGCTCCTCTGCAGAAGGCTGGAGGTGTCTAGTCTCTAGTCTCAGCCTACCTGCAGGCTGGTGGAGGATGAGAGACGGAGGTGAGCTCACCTTGACCCTGAGCCTCCAAGTACACTACTTGCATCTTAGGTACATTTTGTGTTCTGTGCCCAACCTTCTCTTCCCCTGATGGGGAATAGAAAGGGAGGAGGAGGAGGTGGCAGGCAGGAGCATGGGCACACCCCATCAGGCTGCCCTTCTCTGTCAGCTCTCCCCTTTCCTGTGCCCAGCTGAGCCACAGGAGGGCAAGGACTAGGCCCATCTGCCTGCCCTGCCTGCCCCTCCCTCCAGCCTAGCGGACTCCACCTTTCCCAGGTCCTGGCTGGGATCCTAAGGCTCCAGGCAAGTGGGGGAAGGGGAGGCCACTCTTACTTTCCCAGCAACTGACACTGCCTCTTCCTGTTTTGCTAAATCTCTGGCTCTGGACCCGAGGGGGAGGGGGACATTGCCTGTAGCTCCTGCCCCCCAAAGGTCAACCTGGTTCCCTTAGCCCTCTTAGCTGGTTATTTATAGCCCCCCCAGGCCCCACTGAGGAACTGGCTCTCTCCCTCAAATGTCAGCAGCTGTGGCCATTGCCCCAGGGATGCAGCCAGATGCGCAGATCACTCCAGATGTGCAGTGCCACATTTTGGAGAAGAGGCCAGGCCCTTTCTGCAGTTCATGTGGTGTCCCCTGAGTCTGGCCCAGGCTCCTCTCAAGGCCAAGAAAAATCCCTGAGTATCTCAGGAGCATCAGAAGTGTTGTACCATTTTTTTTTTTTTATTCCCTTTGCCTTCCTTGCTAGGCTTCCCTATGTCCCCCAGAAGGGTGTTAGGAGCCCAGACGCTACAGACCCAACTGGATTCACTTGCAAAAATTAGGTCAGGACTCATCTGAGACTGAATCTGCAGAGAAACATGGGCTGAGGGAGATGAGGAGACGAGAGACTTTCTTCTTCTGTTCCCGATGCTGGCATCCACGCTCCAGCCCCGGCAGAGTACAGCCTGCGTCAGGCTCTGTGCTGAGCACTGCATGTCCTGATCTCACAGCCTCCCAGCAGCCCTAATATGGCAGCACCACTGGCCCTGGTCTGCAGAGAGGGAGCTAAGTCTCCTCCAGGTTAAACAATATGCCTTACATACCGGGGAAGAGACCAACTGTAGCCCAGGACTCCAAATCTTTACCCTTAGCCACAGTGCAACACCTCCATGGCTTTCTGTTCCTCTACGTCTTCAAACACTCTAGAAAGCTCTAGAGCCCTGACTACAGGGCTCTTGAAGAGAAGAGGAGTTGTCTATACCCAGCCTTCCCAGCCCTCTTTCCCTGACCCCCTGGACCCAGCAAGAGAGCTCTGGCAGGGCAGAGACTGCTAGATTCACTGTTAACCCTCCCTCTGATAACCAGGCCTGAGGGGCAGGTGAAAACAGAATCCCCTCCCTGATCCAGCCCACGATGGCCTGATAACCTGGCAGAACCCTTTCCAAAGGGGGACTCTGGGGTCTCTCAAGTCACTGCTCTCTCTATAGCCCATGTTGTCCTTGTTGGGCATTCTTCTGGCCGCAGGTTCTCTTCCTAGACGGTACTGTACTCTCTTCAGGTGATGATGGCTTCCTCCGTGGTAGATGGCAGCTTATCCTGCCTCTGTGTGGAAGAGTCTGCCGTGGTATCCTGGAGAAGTACGCCACGCTGGGTGTTCCCGTGAGCAGATGAAGGGGAGAGTGAGGGAGTGTCTGCTTGGGTGAGGCATCTTAAGAGCTTAGCATGGACGCCCTTATTTTCACCCTAGCTTGGTGGTCATCAACCCTTCTTATCCCTGACTCTAACTTCACACTGTCTCTGCGGCCTCCTCTCCACGGACATACACAAACACAACTCAAATTCATTTTGGAAGACACTTCTAGGGGGAAAAGAGAGTGGACCCCGGGGCCAAGACTTTCTCTCCTTTCTCCTGACATTCTGAGCCTTGAAATCCATGACCCCCAAAGAGGAGATCTGTACAGGACGGGCCCCTCCTCCAGCCAATACAGCCACTAGCAGCAGAGGGTCACGCTGGGAGATATGACAAGGCCAATGTCAAGCGGGCCAGTGGGTGGACCACAGTGTCCCTGTAGGGGCCACTGGAGCGAGTAATTGCAAACTGCATGCAGAAAGGCATTTTGCAACTCAGATGAATTTCTTCTCATGATTAGAGAACGGCCCAGTGGCTGCCTCGCTGACCTTAATCGCTGCTGGCACTGGTGGCTGGGGCCGGGCTGCTGGCCTGTGGAAGAAGTACTGACCTAGAAGGCAGAGCAGGGAACCTCTGCCTGCCCTATCGCTTGTTAACCATGTCACTGCTGGCAAGCTCTCTCCCCCTGTGCCTCAGTTTCTTGGTCTGCAGGTAATGGTGTGGATTAGATCCGGGAACTCCAAACTAAACACACCTCACAGTGACCTGAGGGTTTCAGAGCATTACAAGGGGGGGCCTAGGAGTATTTCACAACTTTAAGGTCATGTCCAGCCAGGGGACTTGGTAGGTTAGATGACCTTATAAATCTCCTGTTGCTCAAAGAAGCAGATCCTAGTAAACACAATAGTCACACTATGAGGTTTTGCTGCTCTGGGACTGGCTTTATCAGAGGGCGGGTAGGAGATAATTTATTTTGTCATTATTCTTACCCACAATTATTATTTTATTGCTGCATTATTGCCTCGAGGATGGGGTGGTGCCTCATCTGCTCCTTGGTGAAGGAGGCCCTGGCCTCAGGGGTCCTGGCTCACCTCAGGGTTGGGGGTGGGGCTGAGAGAGCAGAGCAGGGAGGGGTGGGAAGGGCCTTCCCTGGTGGGTGGGTCCTCTTGGCAGGGGTGACTGGAGTTTGGCTAGATGCGCTTTGGCACCAATTTCTGGGCTGAGAGAGTCTCTTCCCCCACCCACCTTCCTCCCCCACTTTCCCAGCTTAGCTGCTGAGCCCGGGGACTGCCCCTTCCCGACTTCCTCCCTCCGGCTCTTGCCAACCTCATTCTTGAGCCTTGCTAATCTGTTTGCCACCCCTCAGCCTCCTAGCCTCGCCCTTGCACATGCCATTCTCCCTACCTGGAATGTCACCCCCCCCAGCACCCCTCCAACAGCACCCCCCTCTCCCTGCCTGCCTGCTCTCCTGCACTGATTCACACTTCTGGGCTCCATCACAGCCCAGCTCAGCTCAGGACGGGCTTCCTTTCTCCAGGCTGCTTGTAGCTCCGGTCTCCTTGAGCCTCTCCTCTCTGCCACACACTCTTTTACTCTTGGGATCACAGAATGGGAAAACGGCTTTAGACACGGGGGAAAAGGAGCGATGATCCGAAGGGACCCACGCATGCGATTGAGGGGGAAACTGAGGCCAAAGAGCCTGTGGCTGAGCCAAGATCATGCCGACCAAGAGATTTCAAATAGTTGGGCTTTGTAAGGGGGCTTTTCAAGTATGCTGAGTTTGTTTGGTTTCCTCAACACATTGTGATCGACAGGGATGTTTTTGTTTTTATATTTAATGTCCTTTGTCTCCACATTCCAGTGTGTGTGTGTGTGTGTGTGTGTGTGTGTGTGTGTGTGTGTGTGTGGTTTATCCAGGAACTACAGTAAACAATTCTAATCACCCATACTCCATGGTGACAAAGACTTATCTAAAGCCTACTGTTCAAGCCACCTGAGGGAGGACACACATTACAAGATGGTGGTGTGAATGTTTGCATATATTATTCATGTGATTTCTGACGCATTGGGTGAAGTAGGTAGCCAAGATTTTGCTGTTTTACAGAGCGGGGGTCGGGGGGTCGGGGGGAGAGGACGGGACGGGACTGAGATGTAGGCAGCACCCAAGAAGTTTATGGCTGAACTCACCCAGAACTTACGTTTCCCTAGTCTCAGCCTAAAGCCCTAATTCCACAACGCTTCTCTCCCAGCTCTTGCCATTTACTCTTTTTTTTTAATTTTTATTTTTATTTATTTATTTGGTTTTTCAAGACAAGGTTTTACTGTGTAGCTCTGGCTGTCCTGGAACTCGATTTTTAAACCAGACTGGCTTTGAACTCACAGAGATCCACCTGCCTCTGTCTCCTGAGTGCTGGGAATAAAGGTATGTGCCACCACCACCCGGTTCCTTGAGCTCTTTGTTGGGGTCATCAAGGGGTGGCCTCTGCCAATGTTTGCATTCATTTTATCTTCATGCCGGCTTGAAGAGACTCTGTCCCTGGCTTCCTGGCCCTCCCCAGCCTGTCCCAGTACTTTCTCCCTGTATCCCCCACCACCTTGGCGGCACACAGACACACATGTATGTTCAGAACTGCAGGTGTGTAGGGCAACAGACCACAAGAGAAACCACATCACCTTTGTTGACTCTGGAGGGAAGTGAAGGGGATGAGGGAAGAGACTGGGGTAGTTCTCAGCTCGAACCATTCCCCAGTCGTGGGTCCCCTGAGCCTGGGCTATCTGGACTGATAACCATGGCTGTGGGGCCTTCCTAATCCACCCACTCAACCCCAGCCTAAAAACACATAACACGTCTTGTCTCGGACCTTGAACTCCTAGAGTGGGGTTCGCCTGCCTGCTTGCACCCCAGACCCACACCTGCCAACTTTACCCAGAATACTCACACAGCCTGTTGATCCTGCCTGCGCCACGTAACAGAGAAAGGTGGAGGACAGAGATGAGTCCCTATGTCTGGGTTCAGCGCGGCAGGAAACGGGTCATCTGGAGTGATGCGCAGAGGTCAACAGAAACCTCAAATAACCAGGCTACGCCGCGTGGAAGACCCTGGCACAGCGTCTCTCCTGTTCGGGCCTGCTGGAGAAATGGCATGGCTCTGAATCAGGCACACTAGGATCGAGCCGTTTGCTGGCTCTGTGGCGCCGGGAAAATCATTTCCTCCTTCTGAACTCGGGTCTGCTCACTAAACAATGGTGGACTAGTGAGCCGTGCGTGAAAAGAGTGCAGGAAACACAGAAAGTACTCAATGAAGACGGAACTGCTTTCCTTCCTCTCCTCTGCTCCTGCCCTCTCTGTCTTCTCTTGGAGATTTCTTTTCATGTATGTGTGTATATGTGTAGAGTACCCTCAGAGGCCAAAAGAAGGTATCTGAGCCCCTAGACCTGGTAGTTGTGAGCCACAACTGGGAACCGAACTCTGTCCTTTGCAAGGACACTAAGCACTTTGAACTAGTGAACTCTCTCCTTTTTCCTTTTTCTTTTACTTTGGGTACTTGCGTGTACGTGTGCTTGGTGTTTGGATGTGTGTGGGTGCGTGTGTATACAGGGGCCCGGACACATATACGCAGATGCATGTGTATACAGGTGCCAGTACACCTATGTGCAAGAAGCATGTGGAGGCCTGAGGTTGGCACAAATGTCTTTCTTAATTGCTCTGCCTGTTCCTTCTATTTCTTATTTTTAGTCCCAGGAAACTCTTTATTTGGAGTTGAGAACTTAACCTCCCCTGGTAATCTAAAAGCCCACAAACAGTTGGCATTTGATCCTCGGCTCAATCCCAGTTCCACTCAGTGCTGGCCCCTGAGGTCCCCTGGGGGCGCTGGGGAATGAGCACGCTCTGGTTGGCTGTGTGAGGCATGTGTGAGAGGAAGTGCAGGCTGGGGGAAGACTTGTAGCTGCAGTCAGCACGTGTGGAAGGCTGGGACAGGTGTGGTCCCTAGTGTCCTGACACTTAGACTCGTAGCCTTTCTGCAACCTGGAATCCTGGCCTTGAGTAGGCTCCCAACTGGATTTGTTGAATGAGCAAATGGCCTGTAGCTTGTTGAGCAAATTCTGTCAGGTTTCCTCACATTTATGGGCCATATTTTGTTCATGAGCATAACAAAGATTATTAAGAATAAGGGATCTGGAGGCTGGAGAGGTGGCTCAGTGGTTAAAGGCACTTGCTGTTCTTGCAGAGGACTTGGGTTCAGTTCCCAGCACCCACAGGGCAGCTCACAACCGCTGGTAGATTAACTCCAGTTATCTGAAAAAGCCACCTGGCTCCAGGAGGGCTGGCAACCTCTACTGGTCTCTGTGGACACCAAGGACACATGTAGCATGGGTGCAAACATGCAGACCACAAACACTCATATGCATAAGATAAAATCAACAAATCTTAAAAAAAATAAATGATCTGATATCTGTCCAGAGGCTAGAATAGGGCTGATATTTGGTAAACACTTGGTAAAAGGTAGCTTACCAAGGCAAGAAGAAAAGGGAAGGGACAAAGAGGAGGACATGTAGGCCCTAAGTCTCGGGCAAACAGAAAGGGGCACCTGAAGGCTCTGTGTTGTCCAGAGAGCGAGGGGAGCTTTGAAGAACCCGAGGTGGATCCTATGGGGCCAGTCTCTTAGACCAGGTGTCCAACGGAGCAGGCTGTAAGAAGTCGAGATGCTTCCCAGCACCCACGGCTGTCTCTCCAGCCACTAAAAAAAAAAAAAAGTCGAGACGCGAATTCTTTAGAAACCTCCCCTGGTAACCACCCACCACAGCAAGAAGGAGGTAGCCGGCCTTTTTCTATCGTATCTCTAGGGGTTCCTGGAAGCTAACATATGCCACTAGGGAGTATGGGTTAGAAACTGGCTTGGGAATCCACTGTAGCGCAGGAGCTGTTGGGAGTCCTAGGTAAATCTGGCAGCAGCAGGAGAGACCCAGTTCAGCATCCCAGACACTTGTTGTACATGATGTTTTCCTCTCTGCCTACACTTTGAGGGCAGTGAGTCCTGGGGTGTGCCGAAAAAGCCACAGGTTAGGTAGGCACTGTGAACCTAGACAGGCGGCCACCCATCTTGACTCCAAGCACTCAGAAGTCAGTGGTTAGAGTAAAAAGAAAAGGCGGATTCACAAATAAATACATGAATGCTGTATTTGCAGAAATCAGCCAACAAGGAGATAAAAAACAAACCAAAGAAGAACCTGAGCACCGTGACAGCCCCAGGAAAGGGAGACAGGTGCGTAGGGACGATGTATGGTTACAGGAGGAGGGAGGTAGAGAGAGAGGATGGCGGTCTGCTCTAACCAGTGGTTTTTCTGAAGGGCTGCAGGCCTCTAAGGGGAGTTTGGAAGGGGGCTCAGTACAAGGGCAAGCGTGTCTTGCAGAGCAATATGGCTAAATCACTGGACTGTAAAAGAGATGTCCAGCCGGAGGATGATCCTTGGAGGCCATGAACATCTGACATCATTCAACCAAGAACGCACCGAGTTTGAATTCTGTGCCAAACGCTGGGAGAAACCGCAGCCACAGCTGAGGTAGTACCCTCAAGCTTGGCATCTTTTCTCGAATGCTTGTGGGGAAGGCGACTAGACTAGACGGGTGAAGGTCAGTGTGGAGAGAAAAACCTATAGTGCTGGGGTGGAGTCCTTCAAGGAAAAGGAAAATCCTTCCGGCTATGGGAATCACGGGACATTTCAAAGGAGGTAGTACTGTGAAGTCAAGGGATGTCAATACCACGGGAGAAAGGGGGCCGAGGGCATTTGCTCTGTCCGGAGTGTCTCAGGTCAAGGCTAGGGAGTGGGTAAGTGTGAGGACAGAATGGGGAGCAGCTAGCAGACAGGGATGTGATCATAGTCAATTCGGCCGAGGAACCTAGCAGGAAGCGCTGGGCAGGGATGCGTGTGGTACCATACTGCAAGAGGCCATGGATCCTAAAGAGCTGGTGGTACCCATGAACGGGTAGAGAGGGGTTAAAGTCAGCTGCTGATCATCAAGAGATGGACAGGTAGGGAGACCTGCTGACCCGTCACTGAGGCTGTTCAGCAGCATGGCGAAAAGACTCAACTCATCTCTAGCTCTGTCTCCGTTTCCCTTTCTAAAGATGCCGGGAGTTCCTAGGACTCGGTGAGTAGAATGTGATCAGAATGAAGCTGCTTTTTCAGTGGCTGGGCACCTCAGATGCAGGGGAGCCCAGTGTTCCTGGTGGATGACCTCTCCCTGTCCCAGGCCCCAGTTTTCTGACCCAACAGATTGCTGGAGGCAACGGACTGATAAGCCAAGCCAGGCAGCGCAGTGGGAAGGTCCTCAGCCCCTGACCCTTGAATCTGACCTCCGTGGTCTAAGAAGAGATTCGGGGGGAGGCAAGGAGGGCTGTAGTGCAAAGCCAGCCCTCAGCTGAGTTTATTAGCTGAGGGAGGGCTGGAGGCGGCTGCATTCCGACTCACAGACTGGAACATTTCTGTGATCCACTGTAATGCACTGGGGGACACTGGGCACATTGCTGAAGTTTGACTCATAGGGACGGGCGGGGGGGGGTGCAAAGGGGGGGTCATTGTGGAGGGAGTGGAATGGAAGAGAGGAAGAGGAGAGGATGGAAGGAAATCCCTTGAGAAATGTCTTTGAAAAAAGAAAACTTTCAAATACTGCACCACCCCCACCCCCTTTTTTTCTTTTAATAGGAACAGGCTGGACCCTTCTGCTCCCCTCGGCAGGCATTGGGGGGGGGGTGCCACTGGGGTTGGACTGGGCAGTGATTCAAATCAGATCCTGAAGCTTTCCTGAAGCGAGTCCTGCTTGAGTGTGTGTGTGAGGGGTGGAACGGGGCGGGGGTGTCGTCTGGGACTCCTTACTTGGGACCCTAAGCGTGTCCTGTGCCTCCGTTTGGTGTAGCTCTCTTCTCCTAAACTTCCTATGTGTGTAGATGTGTGCACAGGAGTCCTTCCCCGAAGTGTAAACCACCCCGGCCTGTGTAAACATGGATGCACGCTCGTGTACGCTGTGTATGCACGGGTGCGTGCACTCAGGTATCTGGGTTTCCGGGAATTGTGCGCTGGGCGCAGCGCCGCGCGGCGGCTGGGGCTCGGCGGCGGCCGCGCGCGGGTCCGGCAGCGTCCGGCGTTCCGGGTTCGGCGCTGCCTCCCGGGGCGGTGTGCCGCGCCCCACGGCGATCGGTGTCTGCCGCCAGCCTGTGTGCGGCTGAGCAAAGCCTGCCGGGGTGGTGTGTCCCAGGGCCGCGAGCGCCGGCCCCCCTCCCTCCCCTCCCCCTTGGCCCGCTCTCAGACTCAGATAAAGCATTTCCTTCCATTGTCATCCTACCCGGCCGGCCAGGCTGCCAGGGCCCTCCCCCTCCCGGCCCCCTCCCTTCCTCTCGCCGTCTCACAGTCGCTCTGCAGCCTCCGGCGACCGGGGGGGATGTGAGGCCGGCGGCGCCCCGGCCCCCCGCCCGCCATGAGCCCCCGGCTCTGAGG